CCATCCAGCTTCAAGCCAAGTTAGCTGGTGGGTCCGAGGAGCCCACCCAGCACCACGCCTCGTCTTGTGGGGGTCCTGGATGACCCAGCCAGCACATCCTCATGTCAGCTCATGGTCCGGGGAAGTCTGTTCAGCCGTCACCTGCTGCATCCACATCACCGCCTGCTGCATCATCGCCTGCAGCATCATCGCCTGCAGCATCGCCACTGTCAGGTTCCGCAGCCGCCACGCTGCCGTCAGGTTCCACATTGTCTTCATCCACGCCTGCAGCGTCAGCCTCATCCACGCCTGCAGTGTCAGCCTCATCCACGCCTGGTCCTGCCTCTGTGTCTTCATCCAAGCCTGGTCCAGCCTCCGTGTCTTCATCCACGCCTGATCCAGCCTCCGTGTCTTCATCCACGTCTGGTCCAGCCTCCGTGACTTCATCTTCGCCTGGTCCAGCTTCAGCCTCGCCTTTGCCTGGTCCAGCTTCAGCCTCGCCTTTGCCTGGTCCAGCTTCAGCGTCTGCTTCAGCCTCGTCTGGTCCTGCCTCGTCTGGTCCTGCCTCGTCTGCTTTTGCCTTGTCTGCTTCAGCCTCGTCTGCTCCAGCCTCGTCTGCTCCAGCCTCGTCTGGTCCCGCCTCGTCTGGTCCCGCGGTTGCCACACCGTCATTGGACCCGGCTCGTCCTGTTCCAGGCCTCTAGTTGGGCGTTATGGCCATCAAGGCCGGCCTCCGGAGAGAGTTTGTCGCCACCACTGGCTTCGCGGCCGGCCTCCGGACCTGCTCAGTGGCCGCCACTGCCTTCCAAGTGGCCGGCCTCCTGATTGGTTTTGTCTGCACCGCCGCCGTTGCCTTGTGCACGGTTGGCCCCCAGAACTGTTTGCCCGTCGTCACAGTTGCTGTCCGCACGGCCGGTATCCAGAACTGTCTTGGTCCTTGTGTTGTCGGCCCCCGGGTTGACCCCCTGAACTTTTCACGGACTTTTGTTGAGCTCTGGTTTGGTTTTTGGTTTTGATTCTGTTTTCCTGTGTTCTTGGACTCATGAATGGTCTTGTTTTGTGTTGGACTGTTTTCTTATGTTTTTGGACTGATTTGGACTCTTGTGCTCCTTGTTTTCTGTCTCGCTGTGTTTCTCTGTGTACATTTAAGTCGCGTCTTCTGTCATTGTAGTTGCTGGTCTACCTGTGTATCCACCATGTCTCACCCGTGTGTTCTCCCTGCTGTCCATCATCATTCTCCTCTGCTCGTTCTCATTCTTGTTCAGGTTTGTGTTCTGTAGTTAGTTTGTTCCCAGTATAGTTTAGTCCTTCCTCCGTTTGCAATTTGTCCATTTTTAGTTTTGTGCTTAATAAACCACCTTCTCACCCTTACACGTGCCTGCAATTGGATCCTCCTTTATTTTACCACACGGCTCATCTCACTCGCTGTGACATGAATAGAACAAACCCGAATTTCCAGCACAGGTTGAAGCATGTTTAGTCCAACAAAAGCTAAAAGAAGCCACATCATCATACTGTATGTCATTAAAATGGGCAGTGAGCATTCAAAATGTCATAACCTCACAACTCGCCCAGAAACTGGATACACCCCCACCACCTGAAAAAAAACCCCAGTAAGCTTCAGAATTTATTAGAATACCTATCATAGTTGATATCAGAGTTGCTAACCCATTTACATTACTTGATATGTGCAGTAACAATTTGGACTCAATATATGCTGACTTCATACCACCATGAAAAGCTGGTTGGATACACAAAAACATGTAAGACCACCAAAAGAACCTACATTGCTGATGGGAGTGTCTGCACTGGAGAACTGAACAATGGAAGAAGGTGGCTTGATCTGATGAATCAGGTTTTCCTTTGTATCATGCCTAAGGTCGGGTGGGTCAATACACTCCTAGGAACATATGTCAGCAAGATGTACAAGAGGAAGAAGACAAACTGCTGAAGGCAATGTGATGTTTTGTTTGATGCTTTGACATCCCTGGCCCACTCGAGGTCAGGGATGAGTTCCTGCCCCAAGTGGAGGGGTTTCAGTATCTCGGGGTCTTGTTCATGAGTGACAGGAGAAGGGAGCGGGAGATTGATAGACGGATTGGTGTGGCAGCCGCAGTGATGCGGACTTTGTACCGGTCTGTTGTGGTGAAGAGAGAGCTGAGTGTAAAAGCGAAGCTCTCAAATTACTGGTCGATCTACGTCCCTACCCTCCCCTATGATCAAAAGCTGTGGGTAGTGCCTGAAAGAACGAGATCGCGGACACAAGCGGCGGAAATGGGCTTCCTCCGAAGGGTGGCTGGCCTTTCCCTTAGAGATAGGGTGAGAAGTTCGGCCATTCGGGAGGGGCTCAGAGTAGAGCCGCTGCTCCTCCACGTCGAAAGGAGCCAGTTGAGGCGGCATCTGACAAGGATGCCTCCTGGGCAGTAGCGGTTTTTGATACGGCCGACACGGGCGGTTGCCCGGGGCGGCATCGTGGTGGGGGGTGGCATCACAGGCATCAGCAAAAAACAAAAAACAAAAAAAAAAAAAATTGCTCGTACTCATGCTGCCCCGACATCAACCAGCGCATATTGGGAATGGTACAGGCACCGATCAGTTTTCTATCATACATTTGCTGGGGCGCCCTCCGTTTGCGAGCTGCACCTGCTTCTTGCGGCACAGGGAGGAGAGGGCGGGGCGGCGGGGGATTCTCTGGCTGGCTGGAGCAGCATCTAATAACCAACTCGCAAAATAAAACAAAATAAAAACAAACCAACAAACACGAAAACACCAGACATCATGATACAGACTTATAATTTGCACCGATGTTTTTTCGAAATTCTATACGCGAAAAGTGAGCGAGAGCCCTCGGTGCGCCTGCTGCTGCTGAAGTCAAAGTAAACTTTATTGTCATCTCCGCTACATACAGTCCAGTATATAGAGAGACGAGACGACGAGGCTCCAGTTACAGCAGTGCAAGTAAACAAACAATAAATATAAGAAGAGTAAGAAAATAAATATACACTTTAGGACTCGGGTAAAGGGATCAATAACAATTTAAAATTTATAATTTACAGTTTGATGATTTAAAGTCTCACACACAACCCGTCGAAAGGGGAGGGGGCGGCTGCTTCCAAATAGAGCACATTTCATTCATAATGTTGTAAATTATGTATTCATGATTTGAATCCTGGGTTGTGTGAAATCCCAGAAATAAACCTAGACAAAGTGAATCTGTGAACTAAGGTGTAGGTCTATTAGGTTATGTTGTGGTGATCCTCGGGTTGGGGGATGGGTGTTCATACTGGAGTGCAAAATTAAAACCAATGGAAGATGGACAAGAAAAGTTCAAAGCCATCAGGTGCTCAGTTTAGAAAAAATAGAAAAGAAGAGGAGGAGAAACGAGCAAAAGATACAGGTAAGCAGATGTGTCATTGGATAATGGCAGGTCATCCTGAAACAATCAGAATCAGAATACTTTATTAATCCCTAAGGAAATTATGTGGGTTACAGTTGCTCCAAAAAGAAATGGTAAAAATAGTAACAGTAACAGACTAAACTCCAAACAATACATTATGTTACAGATTTTAATATTAATTAGTCATTGTCAGTTGTTGATTTGTCCTGTTCTCATTGTATGACGAATTATGATGGCTGTTTGGTAGCCGTTTGCATACTGCATACTCTCTCTCTTCATGTGTGTGTGTGCTTCTCTGGTGAATTTCGACAACAGTTTTATGTTAATGTACAATCCTTAATATGTTTTATGTGTGTGTGTGTGTGTGTGTGGGGGGTGGGGGGGGGGGGGGGGGGGGGGGGGGCCAGAGGGAGTGTTAGCCCGAGGTGCCAAACAGGCTAGGACCGCCACTGCTCCTGGGTGAGGTGTTCAGGGCATGTCCCACCCTTAAATATACTACGTCAGATGCTTCATAGACCTTTCATTTTTAATTTCACCTAAATTAACAGAGGAGATCCTGTTCTCTTCAGCATCATTAGCTGTGTCCAAATAAAACACAAAAAACCTCTTAAACTCATCCAGTTTAAGAAGAAGAGTATTTTTTACGGAGAAGTTCTGAGCAATTATGAAATTATGAACGTAAGGCATAACTGTGAACTGAATGGCTTTAATAATTAGGCTTGACAGAAGAATGAAGCTATTACCTGCAGGCTACTGTGTCCAATATGTCTATAACAATCAAAGCTTTGATTGTTCAACCAGCCTCGCAGGATCATTCAAGAAGGTGAAACTGTAGAACACGCATCTCAGATTACTGGTTAGTGTAATTACCCGCATAGCATTCTTGTTAGTTGCAATGTATGTCATTTAATTAAAATTAAAATACGGCCATCGAAAACGAACTACACTATTGATAGATCGAGTTCCAAAATTCAAAGCTGCATTCACACCTTTCAACAAAAAAACACAAGAAAAAAATAATAATTTCTTGCAGACCAAAATAGGCAAGGGTAAATACTCATGAATGTTAAAATGCATACTGTCGGGAATTGGCTACTGGGTTTCCAGGGAAACACTGATAAGTTGTGTTAGCAATCAGTCTCTTTACTTCCTCTTATTAATCATGAATTTGAATGATTTTTTCGACCTTTTTTTCTGCAAAATTGAATTATTAATCTCGAAATATCGACTTTATTCTCAAAATGATCGACACTATATTTTTTTTCTTAATGTGGCCCTAATACTTCATCGTACTTCCGGAAATTTTTGGATAACGACCAACTCACATGTCACATGGAGGCGGTGTCCGGCCAGCTGCAGGATGCACTGAGGGAATAAAAAGAGGGAGGCTGAGGCTAGCTGCATCTGACAACAGGCTGAAAGGACGCACAGGTGCATCAAAGGTAAGACACTGCAGCTTAGGTGAGCTGGACAGAAGGAAGAATTAGGCTACAGTCTGAAAAATGCATGTATTGCATTCTTTTCTCTACTAACATCAGACTGTAGCATTTTAAATTTTAGCAATTTAACTTTCAAAGTTTATATATAGGTAAATTTGTCATTCCATATAGTAGCCTGGAAAACAAAAACAGAATAAGGTTACATCTAACCGGTGAGGAGTAAGAGGGAATGTTGAGGTGCAAAGGGGGTGCGTTTAGTTGTAGAAAAGAGAAGGGCGCTAAAAATTCCAGTAAGACAAGTTATATTTATGATGATGATGATTATTATTATTTTTGTTAAACTAGGTCGAAATATATGTTTTGAAACACAAAGATAAAAAAAAAAACACCAACCCACAACAACAAACTTTTGTAAGCACTAAGCCATAAACCCGGGCTCACCTGTGTCGCCAGTATTTTCTATGGATGTCATTGCGGAGGTGTCGTCATACTTTACAAAAGTGAATTCAGTCAGATTGGCGTTTTGTGTGGCAGATGCTGAGACGATGTTAATGGGTGACTGTCGGGTGCCGTTGCAATATTCCGGGGAAATTGTTGACCAGGTTGTGTCATCTATGAGCAGAAAGAACACGTAAAGTCACCGAGGAGGGGTCACTCAGTGGGCAACATATAATAGATAATGGAGATATTGGGTACTTACTGCAGGATGGGAGGTGATAACACCAGGCTGGATGAAAAAAGGGGTGAAAAAACAGGACATTCAGATTCCCATAAGTACAAATTCAGTGTAACAGTGAATTCAAAATATTTCATGAAAAAAAAGGCCTTTAGCTAATACACACCTATCGATTCGGATGCGCAGTGAGCGGCGGGTACGAGGACGCACACAGCAAGCGCAGCGACTACAAACCACTTCATCTGAAACGAGCATAAAAGCCACATTGTTTATAATCGCATATTATATATATATATATATATATATATATATATATATATATATATATATATATATATATATATATATATATATATATTAAAATCATCAAAAAGAAAATGTAGCTCTTGCAACACAAACATGAATCAATCAATCA